GAAATGTTAAAGAGGCACCAGAAACAGAGGACTGTGGACAGTTATTTTGTGAGACAGGGGTCCAGTGACTCTCAAGCTGGTCCTAGTGGCATTAAAAGACAGAGAAGGGAAGTAACCCCAGAGAGGGCTTTACCTGAAGTCCTCATGGAGGGGGATTCCCCTTCCAAACACTAACTCCAACTCCCTCTCTCCTCCTCCCTATCTTCCAGATGCCATCACCAATCTTCAATAAAGGTAAGTAAAAATGTTATTTTATATGTATTACTATACATAATTAAAAACTATAGTATTTGTTGTATGTAAAACTGTAATTAATCTCTATAAAATGTATTTTTTGTGTGAATATTTTTGGGTTTCTGGAATGGATTAATTGTATTTCCATTATTTCTTATGGGAAATATTGCTTCGAATTTCAGACTTTTCGAATTTAGAACTAGCTCCTGGAACGGATTAAGTTCAATTTTTGAGGTTCCACTGTAGTATACTGTAATAAACATAATACATGTAGAAGAAATCAGCTCTAATGTACATTATTTAGGTTTGCATACCGGTTGGAGATGGTCGTAAGTACAAGTAGTTGGTAAATGAGTACGTCGCTAAGTGAGGAAAGGCTGTAATCAAAACCAAGTGCTAACCCCACTAGGGTCATACAGTTTCTCTTAAGAAATAATGTAAAAGGGATTGTGCCCTGAGCCCTAATTTTCCATATCTAATATCAGTTAACTTTCCCACAATGTTCTTTATCTTCAATATCTTTATTAAATTGCTTGATGCTGGTGAGGGTCTCTTGATCTAGGGAATTGAATATGTGCTCCAGTTCCCTGAATTGAACCTGAATACTCCCCCGCACCACGTGTGCTGTATAGTCCTACAGATTTAGCGCTCCCATGATTATATAATAATTGAAATTTATTAAATTGCACATAATTCATCTCAAATGTCATGGATTTCCTTTTCTGTGGCACTTGGGTATCACTTGTGTTTTTCAATCATGATCCATGGCTGTCATCCAAATTAAATTCTCAAAACATACAATGAATACACAGAGGCCAGAGTATACAAAGCATCAGTAGAATGTTTACTTCCAGTCACCAGCCAAAGCACCACCTTCCACGAATGCTTCTCTGCCAGCATAAATATTCCTCACCGTCAAAAGTTTAAGGTCAGTTGTTCATAAGAAATTAAATGGGTTCAAAATGACTTGAGAAATCTCAAGTCCGGGTTCTACTGTCCATTGGAAAGGCAAGTAACAATTGTTACAGTCTATCACACGAGATGCATAAGGCTATCAACCAAGAAGAAATGGCTAACAATGGTCTAGTGCTCTCCACTCCTTTCAGCTACAATACTTGAAAATGATTATTAACCCTTTGAGGGTCGACAGGCCCTCTCCGAGACTCGTTCTCAGGGTCGGCCAAATTTAAAAAAAAAAAAAAATAATTTTGTCTTATGAAAAAGATAGAGAATCTTTTCCCGATCATAATGACACCAAAATTATGAAATTTGATGGAAAACTTACGGAATTATGCTCTTGCGAAGTTAGCGGTCTTGGCGATGTTTACGCAGCGGCGATTTTGCCCACTTTGAGCCCCATTTTCAGCCAATTCCACTGCACTAGTCGACAAAAAACATGAATATTTCGCTAGAACTCCATTTTTTCTATCGAATAAGTGCAAGAAACCATCTATTTACCATTTCAACTATCCAGTACAGTGGTCAGAATTTAGCAATTTTGCCAATTTCACACAAATTTCAAAAGATGCCAATTTCCGAATAGGGTCCAGAATAAACAAGAAAGACATTCCTGTCTCTAAAATGACATTTCCTTTGTTCATTAGTCACGTCTCAAGGCCCCTCTTACATTCTTTTGCTTTCCACTTTGAATTTTTATTCTCACAAAAAATAGAAGATTTTCTGTTATGCAGATTACTGCATTTGTGTAAAAAATGGTATAAATAATATTGGCACACTTGCAAAAGAATATTAGACTCACCAGTTGACGTGTATTGGACGCTTGGCATGATTTGTTTACTTTTGAACTTTGGTAAAAATCGAACATTTCTGCTACTTTGAGCTTAATTTCAAGGTACTTTTCATTGTAAAACCAGTCAAAATCATCTCAATTTCTAGAATACAACAATCAATACCATACAAAAATACAGTGTAAAGCCGCTGTTTTATTCCAAAAAAACGGTCAAAGTTTTTTTTTTTCTCATTATGCACTGTGTGCTGCAGGATTTTTTTATACTGTGCACACTGACCACATAGACCCATTCTTTCATATGTAGGCCTACCAGCTTTCTCCCACTAGATTTGAGGTGCTAGAATTTAGGCGTACTAGTACGTCAAAAACCCTGGGTCGTAAGCCATACTAGTACGGCTGAAACCCTCAAAGGGTTAAACCTACCATACCAGTGATATTTACATTAACCCTTTCAGGGTCCGTCCCGTAGATCTACGGCTTTACGTTCAGGGTCCAAACCGTAGATCTACGCCAAAATTCTAGCCACGTCAAATTTAGTGCGAGAAGGCTGGTAGGCCTACATCTGAGAGAATGGGTCTGGGTGGTCAGTGTGCACACTATAGAAAAAATCTGGACGCCCGCATGGCATTGTGGGAACGCCGGCAAAGTAGCTTTGTTCATGTGCCTGGCGGCAAGGAAGCTCTCACTCCCCACTCACTCTCTGGGTGAATTCTGACTCTCCTCTTCACAACTTACAGTTCTAAGACTGATGGAAGTGGAGCTGAAGATGAATTCTATGGTTTTGAACCATATGGTACCATTGTGCCATATGGTACAATGGTACCATATGGTACAATGGTGCCATGTCATACAATGGTATATGGTACAATGGTATCATATGGTACAATGGCACCATATGGTACAATGTACCATATAGTACATTGTACCATATGGTACATTATACCATATGGTACAGGGTACAGGGACCCTAATGGAAATAAGTCTGTCTGACTTTTTTGGGTTATCCTAGGTTCTCCAAACATATGCTGCTAAGTATGATATTCTATGTAACTTTATTTGTGTATACCTATATAAACTTACTTATGATGCCACATGCACTTGAGTAAGTTTACTCATGTGTACAGAAATACAATTACATAGATTATCATACATAGCAGCATACATATAAAATCCTAGGATAACCCAAAAAAGTCAGGGTGACTTATTTCCATAGGGATCCCTGTATCTGTACCATATGGTGTCCTGTGCTGTATGGTACCCTGTACCATATGGTACCCTGTGCCATATGGTACCCTGTGCCATATGGTACCCTGTGCCATATGGTACCCTGTGCCATATGGCACCCTGTGCCATATGGCACCCTGTACCATATGGCACCCTGTACCATATGGCACCCTGTACCATATGGCACCCTGTACCATATGGTACCCTGTACCATATGGTACCCTGCACCATATGTTATCATGTACTGCATGGTACCCTATACCATATGGTACCCTGTAACATATGATACTGTGTACAATATGGTCAATAGGCGTTGGTGGCATGAGACACCAGCCAAGACTGAGTGAGTGGCGATGCAAGCTAGCTACTGACTCTGCAGTTTCCAAGACAAAGCTCCACCTCAAGGAACATGTCGAGTTTCTGTACACTTGTAAATATATAATAGAACATTACTAATATACAACATTTTTGCATATTTTTGTTGTAAACAATTACTGTAAACAAAATAATGATGAAAATATTAGTGTGTTTATTGTGTTGAATACAACAGCACCATATAGTACCATATCAAATCAAATCAAATCAAATCAAGTTTATTCTCTATAAGGATTACAATGCGGGGTTTACAGATTTTGGTTATTGTGTGGTTTACATGTAATAAAATACTAATTACAGGGGGGGCTGGTAAAAAAAAAAAACCCATATGGTATCATTTTCTGTAGGGTACAATTACCTAGGTACCATAAGGTACCATTGCCCAAATGGTACCATAAGGTACCTTGCCCTAGGGTACCATTGTTCATTGGTCCCTTTGTTCTTTGGGTCCCAATTACCAAATGTGCCATTGTACATATGGACCATTGTATCATATGGTCCTTTGTATCTGTCCCATTGTACCTATTGTACCAAATGGTTCATTGTATCATAGGTCCCATTGTCCCAAGGGTACCATTGCCCCCTTGGCACCATTGTCCCAATATGGTACTGTATTAAACAAAATAACCGCACAAATATTTTTCATTTTGTTTACAAAAAAACTTGTAAAAAAAGTTTTGTAAGCAATTAATGAAAAACAAATTATTTCAGTTTTGTGTTGAATAAAATGAGTGTAACTTATACAATATACATTATTTTGGTTCACGGCCAAAAAAAGTTATTAGAAGAAAAAAATAGAAAAGAAAAGAAAAAAGTATAAAAACGTACAAAAAAAAAATGGGATTTTGGGAAGCACTGATGTTGCCCCACTCGGGCATTTTTGGGTCAATTTCCCCCGCTTTTATCTCAGAAGTAAAAGATCGAATTTTGTTTTTTGTTTTTTTTTACCCTTTACAAAAAAAATTTATCTTTAATTCGTAAAAAAAATAAATTTTTTTTTTTTCAAAAAATTTTTTTGGGCATGGGGCACCCCTCAGATTTTGGCCCCTTTGGGCCCTGAAGGGGTTTAAGAGGAAATAAAAATAATTTGTATTTTACAATATCATTATATTTGGTCTAGCTTTGGGTGGTCAAAAGTACTTTCATGCTGGGTGATCCCTGATCTTCCAGACAGTTCTTTATTATTCTCCTCAATTTGAATTTTCGTTTTTTTTTTTTTTTTTTAAAATTCTTAAAAGGCTTTATAAAATTTATATGGAGTTTTGTTTAATAAATGAAGAAAGGAAAAAACCCTTTTTCTGTTGCACCTACTTTCAGACGTTTGTATTTTACTGAATCACACTGAAGTATGAGCTTCACCCAGGTAAAAACCAAAGCCCCGTAATAGTGATAAATTTTAACTGCAAAATAAAAATACCATATCTAGCCCATGCCTTCGGTTGGGTGCCGAGCATCTCTAATAGGATGGAAACCGGGATTTCTTTTTTTAAGGAAAAATAGTTTTCTCAATGAAGTCTTGTAAATGAGAATAATAATGAAAAATTTTAGTGTATAAAGAATCGTTAAAATTTTTTCACAAAAAAAAAACATTTTACCAGCTAATGTATTCTTGAGATAAGTGCAATGGTTTTGATCTGAGGTTTTACATTATATATAGAACTCCGAGAGTTCAAAAAAGAAAGAGGGGTTTGTGGATGAGACTTCCCCACTTTTTTGGGGTAAATTATGCTACTGTTTTGAAAAAATTTCCTTTTAATTAATTGCTGCGCTGCCCAAAACTTCCCTTCAAAAGGATCGATATTTAGCGTTACTGAATACTGAAAAAGGTTTACTCAGTCCCGGGGAAAAAACAACCATGTCGGTTCCTTGCAATATGTGGGCTGTAAGGAAGCCCTTGTATTTTTGGGCCAGTGTTTCAAACATTAATGTAAATGATTTACTATAAAGCACAAGTGAGTTATTACAAAGACAGGTCATATGGTTGCATGCATTGTTGTAAATTCAGTAGAATGGAGTATTCTGTTAGGTAGTGAATTTAAAAAATAATAAAGTTAGATTGGTTTTAGGTTTAACATTTATGTGATATAATTGTGAGAAACATTTAAGATATACAATTTATAAGGTTCAGTTATTCAGTATTTATTTGGTTTTGGGTTGAGTAAGTGATCTTTGAGAAGAGACTTGAATTTATAAACAGGTAGTGTTTCTTTTATATTTACAGGTAATGAATTCCAATTTTAGGGCCTTTTATGTGCATTGAGTTTTTGCATAGCGTGAGATGGACACGTGTGATTGTCATGTGTTATCGTGTCTGCAGGTTGGCAAGGAAGATTTTGAGGGGAGGGTTAATATCAGAGTTGAGTGTTCTATGTATGTAATAGGTGCAGTAATAAGTATGGATGTTTTGTATGGGAGTAGGTTGAGTGTATTGATATTGGTGGAGTGTGCTGCCGTATGAGAATTTGTTATTCATTCAACTGCAGCTTTTGTTGGGTAATTAGTGGTCTGAGATGGTTACTTGTTGTTGAGCACCATGCCAACATTCCATAGGTGAGAATAGGGGTATTAAATAAGAGAGTGATATAGGGCCAGGAGGGCTGATGTGGAGCAAGTCCGTATCTCGATAGTATGCCTACATTTGGAAATTTTCTTAGAAATTTGTTTAATATGTGTATTAAATTTGAGTCTATGGTCAAGGTGGATCCTAAGGAATTATTCCCTCTGTTGACTTTTGATGGGTTTATCAGGTTTATCATTATGTCTAAGAGGGATATCTGTAGACTCTTTTACCAACTGAATGAATAGGTTTTTTGTTCAATGATTTAGTGTAAGTTTGTATACAATTCATCAGGTAGATATTTATCTGAATTCGGATTTACATATTGGCTAGCGTAGACTGGTCGGGTGGAAGACGTATGTTCTGATCCCGTACAGCAAATAGTGTGGGTTTGAGTAATTGAGAAGCATTTGGTAGGTCATTTATGTATAGGAGAAAGAGAAGAGGGCCAAGGACACTTCCCTGTGGGACACCAACTGTAATTGGTTGTGCAGAAGAGTTTGCCCCATTTGCGTACACATATTGGCTTCTGTTGCTGAGGTATGACTTGAGGTAGTTGAGGGAGTGCCCTCTTATACCATAGTGTGATAATTTTACGTGGAGCAAGTCATGGTCAACTGTATCAAAAGCTTTACGTAAGTCAATGAAGATCCCCATGGGACTTCTTTTTTCCTATTGCAGTGATATATGTTCTAGCATGTGTATAATAGCATCTTTAGTATTTTTATTAGGCCTGAATCCAAATTGGCAGGGGTTGAGTATGTTTTGGGAGATAAGGTAGGAGTGATTCGTTTATGAATTAATTTTTCGAAGATTTTTGAGAGAGGGTGTAAGTTGGATATTGGCCTATAGTTATTCAACTCTGTTTGGTCTCCTCCTTTGTGGATCGGGTGTGACCCTGCTATTTGAGTACTGTAGGGAAGGTGGAGGATTCAATGGATTTGTTAAAGAAGTTGTTGCAATGATTGGTGATAGCACTTGTGACACTTTTTTGTATATAATGGGTGGTAAGGTATTTAAATCTCCTGCCTTGTTTTTAGTGCGTTTGATAATAAGGGGACTTGTATGGTTAGTCGGAGCTAGGAACAGTGGTTTCGTGTGTAGTTGCCGGTGAGGTATCATTTGGTGGGGTAAATCTGAGCTTGGGATTTTATTGGCAAGGTTTTGTCCCTATAGTGGAAAGAAATCATTGAGTTGTTTGCTGTTTATGTTGGTGGGAGTATGGGGTTCATTCTGATTTTGCTAATTTTATTTCGTATTGTGATATCCTTTTTGTTCCCAGAATTTCTGATAGGGTTTTCCAGGTCTTTTTTATATCACCTCGTAAGTTGGAAATCTGTTCCATAATACAATTTTTTGCCCTTCTTATCAGGCTGTTAGGATTGACGGTAACGTTTTTGTTTGGTCATTGGTTATGTTGACCATTCTGTACTGTTTTTCATTTTGGTGTTTTGTATTTATGGATTTGAGAATGCTGGGTGTTAGCCAGGGACTTAAATAAACAAATTAGTGCAGTTATTGTGTTGAATACAATGAGTGTACACTTATACAATATACATTATACTGGTCTCACAGGCCACAAATGTTATTAGAAGAAAAAAATAGAAAAGAAAAGAAAAAAGTATAAAAAATGTACAATAAAAAAATGGGATTTTGCGGAAGTCACTGATGTTGCCACCACTCGGTCATTTTGGGTCAACTTCCCGCCGCTGTATCTCAGTAAGTACTGATCAGAATTTTGTTTTTTGTTTTATTACCTTCACAAAAATATTATCTTTAATTCTGTAAGAAAAATAATTTTTTTTTTTTCAAAATTTTTTGGACACTGGGGCACCACTTCAGATTTTGGCCTTGGACCCTGAAAGGGTTAAGAGGAAATAAACATAATTTGTATTTTACAATATCATTACTATTTAGGTACTATGCTTTGGGTGGTCAAAAGCTACCTTGTCATGCTGGGTGATCCATGATCTTACACAGACAGCTTCTTTATTATATCTACCTCAATTCTGACATTTACAGTTTTTTTTTTTTAAACCATTCTTAAAAGGCTTTATACAACTTTATATGGCAGTATGTTCTACATAACTGAAGAAGGAAAATCCCCATATTCATGTTGCACCTACTTTCAGATCAGTCTTGTATTATACTGAATCACACTGCAAGTACTGAGCTTACACCCAGGTAAAAGCACAAAGCCCAGTAATAGTGATAAATTTAAACAATGCAAAATAACATACCATATCTAGCCCATGCCTCGTTGGATGCCAGAGACACTCTCTAAAGGATGGAAACCTGGGATTAGCTTTCTTTAAGGCAACATAGTTTTCTCTCAATGAAGTCCTGGAAATGAAATTTAGTCAAACCTACTAGTGATAAAGCGTTAAAATTATTTTCAAAAGAAAAACATTTTCACATGCTAGATGTATCTAAAAATGCTTAATTAATGGTTTTTTGTGCCTATTAATATTAATATGTACATTATTTGTATGGCTTAAAGAAATAAACTTTATCAAAGAGAAAGGGAGAGCTGGAGCACTTAGATTAAATCCAAAAAGAGATCAAATTCCTGGGATCAAGAACCTCTTTGTAATAGCAAGGGCCTCCCAACTCCCCTTCCTTGAAGGAGATACAATGATTATAGATGGATTTATGAAGAACATTAATAACAGAGGGTTTATATCTCAGAATAGCCTATGAAAGCTAAGAAGTACAGTGGACCCTCGGTTAACGATATTTTTTCACTCCAGAAGTATGTTCAGGTGCCAGTACTGACCGAATTTGTTCCCATAAGGAATATTGTGAAGTAGATTAGTCCATTTCAGACCCCCAAACATACACGTACAAATGCACTTACATAAATACACTTACATAATTGGTCGCATTCGGAGGTGATCGTTATGCGGGGTCCACTGTATAACTTACTTTTGTTGGGGTCCTTCAACCCTTCCTCATGTGACCCACAAGAATCGACTAACTCCCAGGTACCTATTTACTGCTACGTGAGCAGGGGCAGCAGGTAAGAGATTTGCTTATGCATTTCCCTGGCCCAAGACTGACCCCAAGTCCTTCCATTGTAATACAATGTTTATATTCAAATTCCAGTTATAAAGTTAAGTTTACAGTATATACAGTGGACCCCCGCATACCGTTGGCATCACATAACGTTAAATCCGCATACCGATACATTTTATCGCTAAGATTTTGCCTCGCATACCGCTAAAAAACCCGCTCAACGCTATTCGTCCGAGACGCGTCTAATGTGCGGCCTGAGCCAGCCTCACATGTTCCGCCGGTGGCATTGTTTACCAGCCAGCCTCCGCGGTAACATCCAAGCATACAATCGGAACATTTCGTATTATTACAGTGTTTTTGGTGATTTTATCTGCAAAATAAGTGACCATGGGCCCCCAAGAAAGCTTCTAGTGCCAACCCTACAGGAATAAGGGTGAGAATTTTACTATAGAGATGAAGAAAGAGATCATTGCTAAGTATGAAAGTGGAGTGCGTGTCTCCGAGCTGGCCAGGTTTTATAGTAAACCCCAATCAACCATCGCTACTATTGTGTCCAACAAAACGGCAATCAAGGAAGCTGTTCTTGCCAAAGGTTCAACTGTGTTTTCGAAACAGAGATCGCAAGTGATGGAAGATGTTGAGAGACTCTTATTGGTATGGATAAATGAAAAACAGATAGCAGGAGAAAGCATCTCTCAAGTGATCATAAGTGAAAAGGCTAGGAAGTTGCATGAGGATTTAATTAAAAAAATGCCTGCAACTAGTGATGATGTGAGTGAGTTAAGGCCAGCAAAGGTTGGTTTGAGAGATTTAAGAAGCGTAGTGGCATACATAGTGTGATAAGGCATGGTGAGGCTGCCAGTTCGGACCACAAAGCAGCTGAAAAATACGTGCAGGAATTCAAGGAGTACATAGACAGTGAAGGACTGAAACCTGAACAAGTGTTTAATTGTGATGAAACAGACCTGTTTTGGAAGAAAATGCCAAGCAGGACCTACATTACTCAGGAGGAAAAGGGCACTCCCAGGACATAAGCCTATGAAAGACAGGCTTACTCTGTTGATGTGTTCCAATGCTAGTGGTGATTGCAAAGTGAAGCCTTTATTAGTGTATCACTCAGAAACTCCCAGAGCGTTCAGGCAAAAGAATTCCTCAAGGCTAATTTGGGGTGTGCTGTGGAGGGCAAAACAGTAAGGCATGGGTCACTGGGACTTTTTCTATGATGGTTACACCAAGCATTTGCCCCAATGTGAAAGATTTACCTAACTGAAAGAAATTAGACCTTAAGTGCCTCCTGGTGTTAGACAATGCCCCTGGTCATCCTACAGACGTGGCAGTGACTTTATGGGGACATGAGCTTCATTAAGGTGAAGTTTTTGCCTCCTAATACCACTCCTCTCCTGCAGCCCATGGACCAGCAGGTTATTGCAAACTTCAAAAAACTGTACACAAAAGCTCTGTTTGAAAGGTGCTTTGTAGTGACCTCAGAAACTCAGTTGACTCTAAGAGAGTTTTGGAGAGATCACTTTAATATCCTCAATTGTGTAAACCTTATAGGTAAGGCTTGGGAGGGAGTGACTAAGAGGACCTTGAACTCTGCTTGGAAGAAACTGTGGCCAGAATGTGTAGACCAAAGGGATTTTGAAGGGTTTGAGGATAACCCTGGGAATCCTATGCCAGTTGAGGAATCCATTGTGGCATTGGGAAAGTCCTTGGGGTTGGAGGTTAGTGGGGATGATGTGGAAGAGTTGGTGGAGGAGGACAATGAAGAACTAACCACTGATGAGCTGCTAGATCAACTTCAACAGCAAGAGGCCAGACCCGAGGAAACTGCTTTGGAGGAGGGGAGAGAGAAATTGAAGAAGTTGCCTACTTCAAAGATTAAGGAAATGTGTGGAATGTGGCTTAAAGTTCAAACCTTTTTTGATGACAATCACCCTAACATAGCTATTGCAAGCCGTGCTGGTGACTATTACACTGACACTGTTGTGAAACACTTTAGGAAAGTCATAAAGGAACGAGAGGTACAGGCCACTATGGACAGATATGTTGTGCGACAGAAGTCCAGTGACTCTGAAGCTGGTCCTAGTGGCATTAAAAGAAGAAGGGAAGTAACCCCAGAAAAGGACTTGACACCTCAAGTCTTAATGGAAGGGGATTCCCCTTCTAAACACTAAGACTCTCTCCTCCTCCCATCCCATGAATCATCTCCAGATCTTCAATAAAGGTAAGTGTCATGTAATTGTGCATGCCTTTTTCAGTTTGTGTGTATTAAAATTAATATTTCATGTGGTAAAAAAATTTTTTTTCATACTTTGGGGTGTCTTGCACGGATTTATTTGATTTTCATTATTTCTTATGGGGAAAATTCATTCGCATAGCGATAATTTCGCATAACAATGAGCTCTCAGGAACAGATTAATATCGTTATGCGGGGGTCCACTGTATTTCTTCTTTGGGGAAAGTCCACAGTTATGTAATGCAATGGATGCTTTTTCTAAATCCTTTCTAAATTTCAATATCATTTTTCTAAAAATACAAAATGGAAAAATATATTGCACATATGTAGAGTGATATCTCTCATATCCAAACTATGTGGGCCGAGACTGGTTCGGAAACACAGAGTTTCCGGATACGTGAGGGAAAAATGCGCATCCATACCGTCATATTGCCATCCATACCCCATCATATCGCCATCAGCGATGGCGCTGTAGGTTTAAGAAATGAGTCCAACATCATCTGGTGGTGGGACCAGACGCTCTGGGCTCAAATAACAGCCTCCCGGATTTCACGGACCACAGGACCATAACTTTTCAAATGGGCTGTGGACAGTGGATGCTCCAAATACTCCAAAAGTGTTTCGACACCTGCCCTTGCTGCTGAAGTTTTTGGTCCTGGAGGCATTGGGTCATCGTCGTCATCGTCGCTGTCACTTTCAGAATGCTCCAGGCAGCAGAAAACTCATTTGTGTAGGCCATAATCTTATTACGAGCCTTCTTGATATCACAGATGGTCAACTTTGCCAAATTATACTCAGCCAAAAGTCGTGTATTGGACCAACCTGCATCCATGTGCAACAATATTTCCCTTTTTTTTTCTACAGTAAGCACATTCCTGGCCCTCTTTGGTGCCATAGATAAGATAACTAGGACAAAACACAGCAGCTCCTAGTGGCCAACCGGCACACTAAAGTGCTTGCCAAGTTTGATTCGGCCTTCTGCTGTATCTGAACGGCTGTTCAAATGCTTCGGTAATAATTTTAGAATTTTGCCCTTTCCTAGGGCCTGTTCGGGTATTGGCGAGGTTCAGATAATGGCATGCCGGACAAGCGAGGTATCACTGCATATGCAACACATACTAAAAATATAAAACAAATATATATCATGGTAATATAAATCTTAATGAAACTTAAGCATTTAGAAAAAGACAATTAGAGTTCAACTTCAAGAAGATTAAAAACAAATAATAGTATTAATGGTTGGAGATATTATTAAAATTTTACAATTAAGAATATGGTGTAATTAATAACATGGAGAAAAATTAATACCAATTTAATTTCATAAGCTACATGAAATATTTGTTCAGGGAAAATAATTGGTTACACTTTTGAATTCATTAAACCCTTCAAGGGAGGTTCCTTGATGCTGGTGAGGGGCTCTTTATCTAGGGAATGTATCTATGCTCCAGTTCCCTGAATTGAGCCTGAATGCCTTCCATTCCCCCCCCCCCTCCCCACAGGCACTGTATAATCCTATGGGTTTAGTGCTCCCCTATGATGATGATGATGATAATTGAATTCACTAATTTCTCTGATATGATAATGAATTTGGAACAATACTGTCTGGATATACAATGTGCTTTATTAGGAAGTGTGGCTGAATGGCAGCCAGGCAACGAACAATTTGTTAAGGCTATATCCACAGCAATCAAGTAGTGAGCAGTTTGCCACATACAATGATTTCTTCTTTTCTTTTTAGTGGAAGCAAGGTAATATAAAGGGATTAAAAAAAAGCAGTTAATCAAACTAAGTGGGTGAAATCACCTATGCGTAAACTGAGCCAAGACTTCTAAATCTGCATCTGCGTAATTTCTAAGTTTTTCATCAAATTTCGTACTTTTGGTGTCGTTACCTTTGGAAAAAGATTCTTGGAGAGGTAAGACACTTGTGCAACAGTTAGGCAACTTTACTGTTGAAATGTTTTGCCTACACAGTAGGCTTCTTCAGTCAAATACAGAGGAAACAGCAGAAGCAGTAGAGATGAAAAGATCAAGTAACCAGTCCATCACCCTGGAAGATGTTTTGAGGTGGTCAGCCTTCCAGGGTGATG